ACTCTCTGCCATGTGTATTTTGCCCTGTTTCAGGATCTTGCTGATATTATTGAGTCCTTAAATTGATGATATATGATTATTATTTCTTATATTGATACAATGATTGGCATAGGAGGAATCAATGACACTGAAGGGACCAATCACAGTAGCTGCAGGCTGCACTGATGCGATGCATTGTTACATTTCAAGGGAGGTGCACGTCAGGGTACAATGTAGGGTTTCAAGTGGGATGCAGTTGTGATATAACTACGCAGTAGCTGAAGCATAAATCCCCAGTGAGGATTTTACTATTGTTTGGAAATATTGCCCCTAAAGACAAAAGTAATATTCAGTGCCTCAGATGCTGTTAGCGCACAGGGACTATTGTTTTTGATCTTACAATAAACCAACAGCTGCACAACCATCTCAAGTGATAATTTGAGATGAGCAGAAAAGCGTAACAGCTTTTTCACCACAGTAGCGATGAAATATTTGAGTTTTGCAAATTTCTGAAGTGACAGTACAATTTTTACTGAAAAGTAAAACAACACTACCACCGAGTGATCCACACTACTAAAAAGCTGCACTCGCTGCCCATACTGCTCATTTTTAACCATGTCAAATAGGATCTGTAGTGTACAGACGTGCAGCAAAAGAGATTGGCTACCCTAACTAGACGTGTTTTTGTTGTTTGAGATGAAAAGGGATTGCAGAGGAGCTCTTATCATAGTGTGGGATATTGAAACTGCCTAAAAACATCAAGACTTATTGTTAGATTTGTCAACCCACTCCTGGGCAATCTCGTTTTCCTCTTATTACTCAAAGAAAAAGTACATGAAAGACTCTCGTTTAAGTTGTTTTCACACCAGCTATTAACTACGATGAAATACAACATCTCTAAATCTACATCTCAGTTAGAAGATGACAGGCAGCTAATGAAGACACATGGAACAAATGCATGATGATGTGCCAAACAGGCTGCCAGCAGAGCACCGACTTACATGAAGCCAGGGACAGAGGTCCTTGGCATGAAGGGCACATCATTGAGGGCTAAGCAACAGAAGACTACACTGTGGGATTTCAAGAATCATTTACCAGATGAACAGCCAAGGAACCTTTCACAAGCCGCAACACAAAAAGGCATGAAAAGAGGACGGCTACTCATACTAAAACACAAGTTGCTTCCTCACCTCTAAGACTCCTCTCCATCTCTCATCCACACACTTGCACTGCTTTCCCGGTTTGCTGCCTGTAGTCTCGAGGAAAGTGGAAACCAGCGACAGTGAAGTGTATCAGTGCTGGAACAATGTGCAAGGGGCCGTTCTGTAAGGCTAGCCAAGGAGACTGGGAGCGCTCCATTATCACTGACCAGCACCATAGAAAGAATAGAGCTGCCACAACAGTACAACAGCAGCGAACTGGATCACAGTTTGTCAATATCCATTTTGGTGGTAGTCTCATATTGCTTTAAACACTGTGGTCTCACATGTGGCAGCCTTAACAACAGTATCCATTATGAGAAAAGGAAACAGGTGTTTAAGGAGGCGGCGGGATCTGTGGCCTGTCTGATCACCACAGTGGATAGAGTTGGAAATCCACTCTTTTTGATGTTATATTCACACGCTGTTTGCCATACTCAAAGTGACTTCGGATGAGATGTGAGTAACAAAGTGAACTCGTGTTTTTAATTCTCATTCCTTAACTTTCTGCGATGCCTTTCATATTCGCAAACCAACTCAGCTCTAATAATCTGGCAGAAAATCAGGGTAAGGCCGACAATGTGCCACAGACACCCACGTTTTTGCTGGGAATTCTCAGATTCATCGGTGATTTGTATGGAACGCCACTGTAAAATGCATGTTTTTTTCAAGCTGTTTTCAGAGCTGCTTGAGGTCCTCTGCAGCATCAACACTGACCACTGCTCTCTAGAGGATGGCAAAAATGGACATTGGTCAATAAGAGCCAATTAAACATGCCATCTCCACAAGAGAAGACAGAAGGAATGCCAACGTTAAATCACTCAGTGGGCCCCACTCCGTCATGACCACTAACAGCCACTTCTGGACCCTACCCTGCCCCCTATTCCCCCCTTAATTCAACCTGCACAAGCTAACTGATGTTAGCCAATAAATCGTTTTCAGTCACCTCCCCTTATGAAGCACCTCTTGGAAGACAAAAGAAAATGAACCTCAAGTCAAAGGAATTAATCTGAGGCCAAAATTATCCTGATCATTAAATGTGGCGCAAAATGTCTCGTTGATTTTTACTAACGTTGACTATACAAGTTTAAAACAAACAAGAAAAAGCAAAGGTAAATGACAGTAAGCCTAAACTGCTGCCTTCATGGGAGTGCCCGGGCCAGCTTGTCTTGTTGCTGCTATGTGGCATTAAAGCAAAACAAACACGTCAGCCAAACAGTTTCTTCTTTCTACATTGCAAAGTCCTCAGAAAGTAAACATGCTGGATCCAAATGTCCAGACTCAAAGCCAGGGAGGATATTTGCAAACCCACAGTAACAAAACAGCATAAATCAGCCTGACAGAGGGCCGTGTCAGCTGATTGCTCATTATCATAATATCCAAAGTGCAGGGATTTGCAAGGAGTCTTCCAGTTGGTATCTGCACTGTAAAAGATTATTTGAATGTTGTGGTCTGAACTGCTTAATTTTTACAACTTATTAACTCTGGGGCCTGGCCGTTCACATGCTCTTACCTCTGTGCACACAGCAAGGTGTACACAGAGGTAAGAGCAAAGCTCCAAAGACTGAACACTTGTTGCAAAGATAAGAGGCGGTGTATTTATTTATTTTTTACCAAAAAGACAAGTTGCAAGCGTCTGAAGTGCGTCGAATATTCGAGATATTGTAAAATTATTTTGAAAGCTCACCATCTTCTTCAGCTACTATAACAGCACAAGAAACCCTTTCATTTCAGTACGTGCAAATACTAAACATCACCTAACCCAACCAGAGCATTTGCAGCAATAAAGATTTAAATGAAGAGCATAAATTTACCTGGCAAATTCTTTGAATGGACGTGATTTACGCATTACTTTGAATATGAATGTAATGAAAGCCCCAATAAAACACAAGCAGCCAGATCACAAGACATACGCCGCCTGCTTCATTTAACTCACAAATAAACTACAGAAAAGAAAAAAAAATATTCACTTCAAGGAAAAAAAGCCTTTTGTACATCTTGTTTTGGGCACAAAGTCAGCAAATGTTAAAAAAATATTTTGACAGGTGATTCTATATATGGAATCATCTCCTACGGATCAGTGAAATATAAAGTAATTCCCATAATATTTCAAAATAACTGCACAAATCAGTGCCTAGGTAGATGCATTTCAAGATGGCTGCAAAGTGGGAAAGCCTGCCACCAGAGGGATTTTGACAACATTTGACAATGTGGGCTCTACTTGCATTTTCCCCACCTAAAAACGGTTTCCTTTGAAGTTTTGGTGGGAGGGGGGTATTACCACTGTTGCTAATGTTGCTCATTTCCCCTTGAAAGACACGTACTTTCCACTAGCTTTCAATAAAAGTTATAAGCTTAAGTAACTACTTAGCTCTTATTGTAAATTCCCCAGTGGATCATTATAACGAGAACCAAAAGAGTTGTGACCTTGGACACTTCTGTGCCCAATTAAGATGTCAAAGTGTAAGACTACTACATCAATCTCAATATTTCCCCGAAATCCGGCTGAGTAATGGAGCCAAACACGTGATCTGCTTAAGTTATCCTTTTAAAACAGGAATACATCATTGAAACATTACTTTGAAATCAAGCCCATCGGGCCTTTAAGGAGATCAACTTTCATGTAAACTAGGCGCAATGCTAGTCCCCCATCTGGCTGCCACTTCGTTCAACAACAAAGACGATGTCTACGTGATTCTCCCGAAGGGGGTGGGGATGACTGAGTGATGGAGACTGTTGATGCGCGATGTTGACCTCGCCGGTTAAAGTGCAATTACTGCTCGACTAATTAAACAATCTCCGTGATCTCTGTCGTAAATGTTGCACATGTTAGGCGTCGTGAACTACGCTTTCCTATCGACTCTGAACACATTTCAAGGGAAAAGGGGGTGGGAGGCCAAATCGAGTGATGAAGTTGAATTATGTAATCACAGTGTAATAAATAGTTTATTCTGCGACAGAACAGTTAGTAGGTGGACTATTTACTCCACTAACTTGCCCTAGACAATTAATAACCTTAGAAAATCGTTAAACCCCTCGCTTCTTGCAACAAAACAGGACTTGGGCGAGCAAACAATGACTGAACAGCATCTGCGTCCCCTGGCTACACAAGCCAGATGGCCTCCAAGACAATAAACTCAAACCTCACACCATGAACTTAACTTTATCTGACAGAAAAGGGAAACCAAAACACAGCGGCGCCGTACAGTTACTTAGCTCTTTCACTCACAATAAAATAAAATATTCACACAAGTAAAACCAACATAAATCTAATTGGCTGAAATATTCCCGTCACGTATCCTTGACCACTTTTCTAACTATATTTCCTAATCTTCCCGACCGTTCCTTAGTACCTTTAATTTAATTTAAATGACCTGGGGCACGGTTGCTCTGCAACATAAACACGGGCCTCGGGCCAAATAAAAACAAACGAGAGGCACATGGTTCAAGAGGACGTCTATGTAAAGTTTATCGAACATCTGAGCATCCTTGGATATAGACAAACACGTACAAGTCACTGTAAATACTGGACCACAAGCCGTGTCGTCAATGCTATATTCCGCTTAAAGTTTAACTTTGAAGAACAACATCAACGGGCAAAGCGAATACAGCTAGCTTGAGCTCTGCTAACGAGCTCGCTCCTCTAACAGGATTGCCTCAGTGTGAGAAGTTCAGAGAACATGCTAAGCTGGTTACCCAAATACTAAGTTAAACAAAGTGCGCTCGCACCAGCACGTACGCAAAAAAGCTGACACAAACAACTTCTCATTTCCGCAATGAAACCCATTGGTGATACTACCAGCAATCACAATTCTTGTTTACCTCTATTTCAAAGTCTGGAAGGTTGAATGCTGTCCTGAACAGCGAGCAGAAGTGGGCTATGGCGGGGACTTCCCACCAAGACTGGATCTCTTCCACAGAAACGGTACATCCCTGGGACATTTTCGGGCTGAAGAAATTCTGTAACGTTTATTTCTCACATTAGAAAGTAGATTCTTCCGCGACGTATAGTGCCTCCGTAACATTAAAAACATGAAAAAAGTTGGTGTCGCCGTCCTGTTGGGACAGTTGCCATTGCGACCCGGAGAGCGCTACAATCTGTTTCAATCAGAGTCTCACCGGAGCTGAACAGATGGGAAGGGCGATACCACTGCAAGACGAATAGGGGGGTCCGACTACTTAGGTCGATATGTTAAACTTTCTGTGAACATAAATAGTAGCTACAGTGGCGAGCATATTTGCCTCTTTTGATAATAGCCTGTAACTGTTAAACCTCTTTTCAATTGTGTTTGACTGTTCGGTTTAATAGTAATCTCCCACAGTAAATAGTCCCCAACCGATTGATAATGGCCTCGCCGTTTAAAGGGAACCATTGTAAATGGTGAATAACTGAAAACTAAAACATTAAAACCAGGTATGGCCCTACAGCTTAAGTTCGTTTATGTAAGGTCTTGCTGTAGGTTTTAATTGAGTCCGTCGATATTACTTTAGGTAAAAATTCCTGACTGTGAAAGCTTTTTTCCCCCCATTGTGAAACGAACACCCCTTTCACTTACAGCAGTCCGAAACTGTCGTTCAGTTTATTACTCAAGCACAAGTTTCAGGTACATCGAGATTTTGTAAACACTTTAAGGGAAGTTTACTACACAAGGACTCCCTCTATCGTAATATTAGAGAAGTGCATGCTATGGCACAGCGGAGGCGCTGAGCGCACTCAGAGCAAGTTCATTTTATTCTGATGTCTAGTGTTTATTTGTGTGTGTTTTACTTTTATTTTTGCAAGACAATAAAATACAAGATGTATAATTTTAACGTAGTATAACAAACGTTTTCATTTGATGCGTGAAGCATGCGTAGGAAACCAGCATAAATTTTCAGGCATTACCGTACACTAAACTGCGAGATTTAACATAGTGGTCCCGTGTGCAGGCCCACACTTTGGTCTGAAGGTGGTGCTCCGGAATTTAAAAAGAAAAAAAGGGGGGGAACATATATACAGACTTTACATGAACGTAAATGTATGGCACATAATACATCGCACTTTCTATTCTATAATGCCTGCACTAATTAAATGCAATAGCAAGCATTTTCCATAAACGGTGGCAGTGGACAGTAATTTAAATATCCTTACCTAAATATCTCCCCACCAGCCTACCAGTTTAAGTTCAAGCCCATCTTCTTTTTCTAAAGACAATCAGTGTGGTGCCAGTCTTTGCAATGAACAACTGACATTGACTGAAGTTTACAAAAGTTTTTCATGCTAACATATTACCTAAAGAAGCATTGTAGTAAAGTAAATCTCCAAAAGTTGATTCTGTTCATCTGGACGTAGCGTTTTGTGGGACAAACGTTTGAATCGAGGAGGGGGCCTAAGGGTACATATGTCACAATCTTACAATGCTGTGATTGCAGCTATTCCCCAACTCTCTGTGAATGGTACTCATGGCCATTGATCAGTGGGATTGGATCAATGGTTGTTGATCAATGGTCATGAGAATTTGCACAATTATGATTGAGGAACTGATCTCCCAGCCCATTGTTCCTCAGTGGGCTGGTTTCAGTCATTATGCAAATTTACTGTTTATAAGATTGAACCTGCAGTCAGCTGAGACTGAAGAAGTCACCTGGATGAGTGACGAAACGTTTCTCCCACAACACGCTACGTCCAGATGAACAGAATCAACTTTTGGAGATACCAACACCACACACAAACTGAGTAACATGGAGTTTTAACAGGCCATGGTTAAAAGAACAGAACAGTCACTTGTCATGACAGTGCAATATATTGTGCTGTGAAGTGAAACCAACTAACCATCCAATTCACAAACATAAGATTATATTGTTAATGGGGCTACATAGCTGTTAAGGCACAATTTTGTTACAACTGCTGCACATCCCTCAATAAAGAGGGCAGAGTTTCATTGAAGACTAAAGTCTAGTCTTTCGATAACCCTCAGGGAAATAAATAAGCTGATATAGGCTGGATCTTTTTAGCTCTTTGGGGTAATAAAGTGGTATAATGAGACAGCAGTACTCTGAAGAAATTGATGAGTCTAAGACAATGTTTAGGCAGTGTCAGGGCTCAAAATCTCCCAGCAAAGGGTTGGATTTTAAGAAGAGTTGAGCACATTTATTCACTTCACCTGTTCTCAGTGTGTCTGATCAATGTACACTGATGGTGCTGTAGTTCCATTCTCCAGTGAGATTGGAATCAAAAGGCTATAAAAACCACATGAAACATAGTGATTCCTACTTTTTCTGTTTGCTTTGTTGCTGGGGGGGAGGCAAGGAAGAACATCAATACTGAGATGTAAGTAACCATATTTACTCACCCTTTGCAGCAAATATTTCCATGCCTTGTATGCATATAAAGGGGAAAATTCTAGTGCCTCTACCTACAAAGTGGAAGCACTGCACATTCACACAGGTGGTGTCACGGTTTGCCAACCAGACCGTGGGGATATGGGGAATGAGGACCCAGGCGCGGTGCTCTGTGTATAAACAGTGGATTTATTTACAGTGATGGAAAAACATGACAATAAATCCCGTGCTCTCCCGACTCCCATGACGTGTCCTCTTCCCAGTGTTAGTCCTCCTGTCTCCGCTTCTCTGTGATGAGCGCCCCGTGCTCGCTGCCCTCTCGCCTCTCGCTACTCCTGGGACATAAGAGAGAGGCAGCTGTCAAACACACAATAATGCAGGAGACTCAAACTAAGAACTGGTCGAGAGACTAACGTGAAGCCAAGCAAAGATCCAGCGTCAGAGAGAGCTCCACCACACTCTCAAGTAGCTCCTCCGACAGGCCTGATCAGCTACAGGTGTGTCAAGGTCTTCAGGTGTGGCTAATCACCTGCCAGGGCCACACCCACACATGCACATATGTCTACAAGCAGGGAGAACGAGGGACAGCAATACAAAATACATACATTATAATATTAGTCCATAACTGCTCAGGTTGTTTCAGTTTCCGTGGTTGATTAGACTTCCAGTCAGAAGTAAGCTGGTTAACTTAACAATCCATAGAAGCTTTCAATGTAGGTAAAATAAGCAAAACCCCTTTCACGGGTGAACTATGGGTGTTAAGACATACAATATCTAATAGTCATATATAAAGGATCACGTACTGTTGCACATATTGTTTTGATTTGCTTCCCCTTACTTTGCAACAGCATTTTAGTGCTGCATATACTTGATGACACCACTAATAACAAACAAATATATAATACAAGCATCCGTTTTCTCTGATGATCAGCACATACTTTATGTGGTTTTCAATACCACATAAAGTAGTGTTTGCGTGTGATTTTGCTAGTCTTATTCTAGTAAAACATATTTATTTCATTACTGAAGGATAAGAAATAGACCAACTTATTCCAAAAGAGTATGTGATGCCAAAAACATCAGAACTAGTCTGTTTGTTTGTTATGCACTTCATTATATCGTTACCATGGTCCCATATTTTACTGTTTTATTCAATACTAGCAGTATTTCAGCATGCCAAGGTATAATTAGAGGATAGAAAAAGTATTTCTTAACCACATATTATTGTTTTTTTGTTAACAAAAAGTAATTGCTCACATATCAACAGAGTTAAAGACAGTCATTGGGTCTGCTTTCTGTTCCTCACACCCACCTCCATACCTCTGTGGGCAGAGCCTTCAGTGTGGCACCCCCCTCTGTAACTCTAATCCCATCTGAATCTCTCCCACCTGAGCTTTGCAACATCCCATCATAAGAAACTTCTCAAATCTCACCTGTTCAAGAAGGCCTTCAATCTCTAGCCTTTTTGTTTATTTATGTTCTTTGTAAAGCTTCATTGAGTTTCTTGAAATGCACAATAAAAATCAAAGTTATCATTATTATTGTTGTTTTTGCTGTTATCATAAATTGTACTTATTCATTTCTATTTTCTACAATAAGGTCTAGATTTCTAAAAACTGAAACCTCTCGTAATGATGTAATTTATCTACTCTAACTGAAACTAAGTCTTTCCATACAAAAGTAAACACTACATATCTAGGCAATAATCAGTTTTCTATTTCCACCACATTTGTGCTCTTTTTTTCTAAACTGACGGCATAACCACAAGTTTTTTAAGAGTGAAAGCCGAGTTTGAAAATATGCACTGATGAGTGAACGTCATTGATAGTAACTGTTTTTCCATTAAGAACGATCAATATTTGAATCAATTCTCATGAAAAAATGGCGTAAGGGCAATGAGCAGTAGCTGCCATGATCACATGCTCCTTTTTTCTTTTTTAGAATCCTGTAATTGCTTTTTTCCCCAGATTTTTCAGTAATGGCACAAACTGTGTGCATTATGCCATTGGATACAGCTTTTAGTAGTTTTTGTAAGTCTGTGAACATTAATTGCATTCAGTGCTCCTGGACGTATTATGTAATAGCAGGACTAATGAAAAAGGGAGCTCATTACTGGTGAGCAGCCTTTTTTGTTTCAGTTCACGTTCTGTGTCGTGTTTATATATATATATTTATAATTGTGAGTATTAGTCTCTGCAGTGTCTGTTGTGCGTCCTCTAACAGCAGCTGCACAGGCTTGAGTTTATGTCTAGTTGTGTTAGTGCAGAGCTGCGTTGCTGGGCTGTGTCAAGCAGAGAGTCACCATAAGAGGGAGGGATTTAGGCAGCAGGACAATACTCGTGTTTGTGCAACGGCCCCTGAGTGGCGGCTGGCTCTCTCAGATCGCTCTCGCTTGACTACCATTCCTGGATGCATTGTTGAAGTGAAAGGAAAGCGGACAGCCTGATCCTGCTTGTGGGATGCTGCACCAGAGGTAGGACCAGCGTTTCTTACTGCTGCGTCTCTGTGATGGAAGAAAAGTGAGTTTCTTGGAAGCTGTCTCGTGGGGCTTGTGCTTCTGAACTATGTGAGCCGGGTGCTCTAGTGCAGTTTCTGGGGGAAGTTGGAGGTTGGCTGGGGTTGAGGCACCCTTCTCTGTGTTTTGGCAGGGTCACTACTGTTCGTGAATGGATCTAAAAGAAAGTTTCACAGAAAGAGGCTCAGTGAAAGGCATGTGTAGAATGTAGCTATGCGCCGGCAACGGAAAAAGACAGTGTTCAGAGACAGAAAGAAACACTTTGGGATGA